TGGGGGGGTGAAGCGTTTGGTTGGGCCGAGGGGTGCCCTTGTCCTCCCTCCGTCCCTCCCTCCCCTGGCCCGGGTGTTGGCCGGCAGCGGGCAGGCCCGGGTGAAAGTCCCGCGGAAGCCGGGCGCTGCGGGGTTGTTTGTTTTGGAGGACTTTGGTTGTTTTCTCTCTTGGCTCAGGCGGGGGCTCCCCTCGGGGGGAGCAGCCCCTCGGGAAGAGGGGAGAAGTGTTTCGTTTTCTGCATTGAAACTCCTCTGTCTGGTCATCCGGGACAACACCTACAGGGGCCTCCTCGGTGACTAAGCCTGATTTCTTGATAAATGAGTAGGTCCAAGTCTGCCTGCTCTGAACTTATCGAGGTCCTGCCCAAGCGAGGCCCTGGCTGTTTGCTTTTTCCTCTCCTCCCGCTGGCGGGGCTCTCTGAGACTGGCCTTTCGCTGCTGGAAATTGCCTGAATTAGGCAGTGGAGAGTGGAAATGGGAGCTTGTTCTTATGCCAGTATTGACCTTTGATTTGCACAGCTTGTTTCCCTTGCTGGCTATATGCATTGCTGGTGGCTTTAGAGGTAGATGTCAGCATCCCCTCCCCACCTTCATTCTGCGTTTTCTGTTTCTCTGGTTTGCTCTTGTAGACAAACAGCAAACCTTCCATTTTAGTCTCCTTTCTGTCCTGCTTCTCCTCTAATTCATGTGGAGAGTTATGTGCTTCTGGTCCCCTGCCTTCCAGGGAGATGGGACATTGTGAGGGGCCGCACTGGGAATGCTGTCCCTGACCCTGTGCTTTCTTTTCACAGTTGCCTCATGCTAGTGCCTCTGGGCTGTCTTTGACCAGCTTAAAGGTCTTTAGCTCCTGTGTGTTTCTTGCCTGTCTTGAAAAGTGAATATGCAGTGAGCTTTCCCCTGACGTGGGTTAAATTTGGGGGAGAAAAAAAGCCACAGCAAAACTGAAATAAGGAACAGTGATCTGAAAAAGGTGCTTAGGACTGGCTTTAGGTGGTTGTTCAGCTTCACCGAAGAGGTAGAGCTGCCTCAAACCAATTTACCTTAAGACTTCACTGTGCTTGTACTGGTTCTGGTGCTGTCAGTTTATAATATAAGTAGTGGAGGTCTGTTATGTACCACCTGTGGGAGAGATGTGAGGGACTGACTGTGCCTTAGTCTGTAGCATAAGACAGTGGTTGGTGTAAGCTTCTGCTGAAACAGACTGGTGGCTGCAGGCTGTTTGCTTCAGCAGGCAGCAAGGGAAGTAAACAAGTGCACCTTAACCATTTTATAACTGTGTTGAGAACACTTGTTTCCCGTCTCTCCCTCAGCTGTTGTCCAAATACCTTCATTTTCTTACAGAATCTTCTTGGTTTGCTGATGGGAAACAAAATGCTCCTTAGAGCACCACCTAGAAACTTTCTGTATCTGAAGGGGGCTACAAGGATGTGGACAGGGGCTCTTCATCAGGGACTGGAGTGATAGGACAAGGGGTGATGGGTTCAAACTGAAACAGGGGAAGTTCAGGTTAGATATAAGGAAGAAACTCTTTCCTGTGAGGGTGCTGAGACACTGGAATGGGTTGCCCAGAGAAGTGGCAAATGTTCCATCCCTGGCAGTGTTCAAGGCCAGGCTGGACACAGGGGCTTGGAGTAACCTGCTCTAGCATGAGGTATTCCTGCCCATGGCAGGGGGTTGGAACTGGATGATCTTAAGGTCCTTTCCACCCCAAACCAATCTAAGATTCTATGATCTTAGTCTCATTTGTGCTTTTCACCTTCAGTGTGTCTCATCCCTTTCTCTTGCAGGATCTTATGATTCTCCGTAACAGCTGCTACCTGCCAGAGAAGGGTTCTGAGGCCGCCCAACCCATGAGTGGGCACCGAAGCATAAAGAGGAGATGTGGGGAGTCACACCTGGAGTCCCCCACGGGCTGCAGTCATGGTCCTGCTGCTGGCTGTGTCTTGAGCAAACTGGTTCAGCTGCCCACTCCCCCCTTGTCAAAGCACCAGCTGAAACGGTTAGAAGAACACAAGTATCAGAGTGCTGGACGATCCCTGCTTGAACCCCTAATGCAGGGTTACTGGGAATGGTTAGTTGGGAGAGTTCCAGCCTGGATTGCCCCCAATCTCATCACCATCATTGGACTGTTAATAAATATATTTACAACTCTGCTATTAGTATATTACTGCCCAACAGCTACGGAACAGGTAAGTTAAGGTCCTCTCACAAGCTTTGTTCACAGTTCCTGCCGTCTAGTAGCTACTTGGCACTGTTTCCTGGTGGGCTCTCATCTCTGTGGAGAGCTGCTTCCCATGACCAGCCTGAAGTTCTTGTACATTTAAGCTCTTCTCTAAAAAAGGTGGTAGTGTGTGTGCATCTATGTGGGCTCTTGCATGCAGAAAGAGCACAGATGGAGGATGGGGTCAGCACGCTGCTGGTGGTTCCTCTGGTCAATGTGGTGCCTAGTACCAAAATAGCTGTTCCACTGCAGCCCTGCAAGGCTTGAAGTCATGTGCAAGGCAATTATGAAACGAATTTGCAGCTACCTTGCTTGTGTGGCACATGGAGGTTTTGCCTGTTTACTTTCCCTGCCTGGGACTAGGTTAGTCACCTTCAGCTTTCCATCTAGAGTTACCACATAACAAGAAGTGCAAGGTGACTCGGTTGGCAGCGAGCTGAGCCTGCCTGTGAGCACAGCTTGAGTTGCGACAGCGAGGAACTCGAGCTCAGATATGGGACTGAGCTCAGAGTGGTGCAGCTTGAGAAATTGAGGCCTCCTCCGTGGCTGGGGTGACTAAACCCAGCTTAGGAAAATAGAGGCACACCTTTCTTCATCCTCTGTGGGCCCTGGCAGTTTGTGTTATCAGGCAGCTTGGATCAGGACCTCAGGAACAGCATGTTATGAGCTGTGGGAGCACAGCGTTGTCTTCCTGAGCAGTGTAGTAGTCAGTGCTTTCAGTGGTGAAAGTCACTAGTTTTTTCTTCACTCTGAATGCACTGAAATCTCCTGACCTGTCCTCAGGAGAACTGCCGTAAGTGCCAGTAATTCCTGGCTTCAGGGGAACAAAAGTCTTTATGAGGTGTTTCAAGTTCCTGGTTTCAAAGTGTTTTCTCTCGCTGGAGTTACCACACAGGGCACGTGAAGACTTTCAATTTTGTGCACTGGAAAAGTTTTGTCACTTGAATGTTGAATCTTAAAAGCTGCTTATATCTGTATGCACTGAAAAAGGGAATTATTTGGTACAGAAAATGTATTACCCATCAAATAGCTGGAGGGTGGCTCATGAGTTCTGGCTCTTAAATAGCCCAGTTCCTTCGTAATGGAGTCTCCTAACTGAGGTTGGGGAGATGCTCCATAGTCAAGTGATGTGCAGTTTGTTTCCAGCCAGACTCTAAGGACCCCCACGTAGGTTGGCACACTCAGCACTGTTCTGCATATGCCATAGCAAAGGGACGTTTGCCTTTCCTGAAATCTGTTGAAATAGTTTCACAATAACTTGTGGAGTTTGGCAGGGGTCGGATAAAGTGAATCCTGAGCTGTAGTGGGGAATACTTTGAGCAGCTTCAGGCTGTGGTGGTGGTGCAGGGCTTGGTTTTAACTTCCTATCTGCTCCCACAGCAGTGTTACATGGGGCCTGAAATCCAGTTCAACAGACTTTGACCTGTCTATTCCAGCAACTCACCAGCTACTATAGGCTGTCGAACTAGAGCATAACTTCAGCTTTAGAGTACAGTTGTATTTTGGTTGTAAGTTAAACTTCTGAAGTACCCACTAAGCTACACTCAGAGCATCAGCAAGTCAGTGACAGCTGTAGCCTGCTGTTCTGTGTTTAACAGTTTCAGAGTTACTTTGTGCCAAGTGAAAGAGACTCTTCTCACCTCAGCTGAAAAATAACTTTCTGCTGAGGTGGCTTTGAGCTGATCCCATTTGCCATATGGCACTGCAGCCCTGTGTGCTGGCACCACACAGAGGAGGACATCTTGGTGCTGGAGCTGTGAGCTTGTGCTTTTGAAGTGTCAGGAGCTGGCTGAGGAGGAAAATGGGGCTGTGCCATTCCAGAGCCAGATTTTGTTTTTCCTGAAAGCGGAACTGGTTTCAGATGTAAATGTCTCTGAGCTCAGGCTTAGTTCCACTTTTCTCAAAAGCAGCTTGTCTTGTTGATGAAAGGTGTAACCAAAGGGTTGTAGCTATCACTTACAGCTTCAGTGGTATCCAAAAAGAAAATGAGCTACAAATAGTTCTACTGCCTGCGTAGCTGGGGAGAGCTCAGATAGCAAAGTGCTGCCCCTTTACCTCTCTTCATGTGCTGGTTTGTGTAGCTATGGGGATAGAAGCAGAGCATGGTGCCAGCTTTTGAGGCAGAATAAACTGGTTTAGTACAATGCAGGAGCAATGCAAGCTGGAGAAGGAAATATAAGTGGATGTGCTTACAAGTGAGTTGTGGTTGTGTAGGCCAAAGAGCTTTGGGAGGCAAGTCAGCTTGGTTAAGCTACTTACCTGTATTTGGACTTAGTGGCATGATTTGGAAATGGAGCTGCTCACAAATGCTTACTTTGATAAAGTGTGTCAAATGTGAAAGATTGCAAAACATCCAATAATATCTGTTTTGTGCATGTGTAAACTGGGACAGGCTGATGGCAGCTCCCTGGCTTTTGTGATCATAATGGTTTATACTTCAAATATCAAAATAAGCTTAAAAGCAATATTTGATATTGTTTAAAATCACAATATAGGATGTGAACATTAAGGGTTATTAACATAGATTTGGCCAAGCTGCTGTTACCTCACAATACAACAGGCAATTGGAGGTGGAGGTGCTGTACTGAGACCACTGAAGCTTTACTGATTGTGGCCAATCTAAAAGCTAAAGTTGAACTCTAAACGTTCAAGAACTTTGCAATGATGAAGTTCAGGCTGCTGCAGCCTGCTAAAGCCCTGTGCTTGGCAGCAGTTTAGTACGTGACACCTCACTGAGGTCTTGTGAAGATGAGCTCAGTGTTTGTGACACAGTTCCACATTTTGGGGGCTGAGGAAGCTGTTGAGTTTCTGAATCACTTGGACAATTTGCAGAAGCAAGACAAGAACCTAACTGTGCACAGCTGCAAATGTGGTATTCTTTCAGGTGCACAGTGCAGCTTCCTGCTTCAGAAAATGTACTGTACTTGTTATTCTGTGTTGGTAATTCTTGTCTCTTAATGTATTTGCACCTCACATAAGCCTCAGCCCGTCCTTGCAGGGCCCAGCTGCTGAAAGGTCCATGTATGTGATGAGGACGTGTGTGCAGATGAAGTGCTGTATGAGATGGGTGTAGATAGGTCAGCCTCAGGCTTCTGAAGGTTTACAAGACTTTTACTCTCATTGCCTTTGTTCCTTAGGCACCTCCCTGGGCATACGTTGCTTGTGCATGTGGCCTTTTCATCTACCAGTCTCTGGATGCTATAGATGGGAAACAAGCAAGAAGGACAAATAGCAGTACTCCATTAGGAGAACTCTTTGATCATGGCTGTGATTCACTCTCCACAGGTATTGTCATTTTTCATTCAAGTACGAGGATTAAACGACTCAATTTTGGGGATCAAATCTGGAATAGAGAAAAATGCTTCTTTACTGAAGAAGATCCTGCTGAATGTATAGCTTTTCAGTCAACTTTCTTTCCACAGACAGCGCTCTTGATTAAGTGAATGTTTTCTCTTGTCTTGTGCTGAAAACGCAACCATTTTGCATGGGGCTAATTCAGTCTGGGCCAGCGAGTCTCTGTGTGTGCTTTTAGCAGAGCCTTGGTTCTAAAGCTTCTGGAAGAAGCTGTCGAAATGCTCTTCTGTGTTATTTTAGATTGAATCTATACAGAGTGATTGCAAAGCAGGTAGAAAGCCTAAAGAATGGGACAATAGAAGTCAGAGTTTAAGACTAGAATCAGCAAAATCAGGCCCTTGGTAGGTGGAGTTCACTGAGCCAGCCTGAAGCGTAACCCCACTGCGGAAGAGTGAGCAGATGCTTTTGGTTACTTAAATTTTAAAGCTGTTCTGCTTTATGTTCTTAGGAATACTTTGTCAAAGTTGGGTATTGAAAGGCATAGATTCCTTCTGAATTTGGAATGACAGAGCTTGGATTTTCATAATGGCATAGTAGCAAATGGGGAAATATGAGAATACATGAGAAACCTCAGAACGCTGCCCACAGGCTGCGACTGCACAAATCACTCGAGTGCCTTCATGTCTAATCCCATTCAGGTCAATAAAAAAGTAGGAGACCAAGAAACCCTCAATCTTGAGGACTTCTGAGAGCTGACAGGACTTTAAATACACATTTCCCAGTCTGTATTTTTACCATGGAAGTGTTAATCTCATGCCTGTGGGATAAAGCACAATAGGATTCCTTCCCACTGCCTCCCCTCTGGCTCCTTTTGTTAGATTTGTTTCTGGTAAGGCTCTTTACTCGCATCCACGCTTTACCTTTTGACTATGTGACTGATTTTCTCCTGCAGTCTTTGTGGTTTTGGGAACTTGTATTGCTGTGCAGCTGGGAACCAACCCTGACTGGATGTTCTTTTGTTGTTTTGCTGGGACGTTCATGTTTTACTGCGCGCACTGGCAGACCTACGTCTCTGGAACCTTGCGCTTTGGCATGTGAGTACCTTGGCTGAAAACAAACCTGAAACTTGGGCTGCTTTACTGTCTAGTTGCACTATGTGGTTGTAGTTCAGATCCTTAGAGCTGTAGTAAATTGTTTATGTTCATGTATACATGCTTAGAGCTTGTAGCAGCTGTGACCTGGTGGATCTGCAGTTAATACTGGGTGTTACTTAGCTTGTTTTAGGGGTGGTAAGAGATCCTTTTGTAATATTAATATTATGAGCTTCTCATGTGATTTAAACCTACATAAAAAAGGGAAAGCACCTGATACTTCATCCCCAAGAATGGAATGCTGTTGTCAGATGGTGGCAGTCTGGCTTTAGTGTTCATTTAACTGCCGATCTCTTGATAGTGCTTGGGTTGTGATGATGTATAGTTAGCCTTTACTACTAACCATACCTCTTAAAATGTAGTGTATTAATTGACATTGTGCCTACAATTTAAAGTTCTGAATCCCTTTTAGTTAGTGTAAATCATGGTTCTGTCAATAACAGGACTGAAACAGCAATACCAAGACAGCAGCTGAAATCCCTTTTGTTGCTGGGTGAGGGGAGGTGGGGAAACAACATGAGCACTTGATGAGCTGTGGGGTTCATTAGCCTTAATGTGGAAATGTGCATTTATTCTGTTTGCATTTCTATACCTAACAAATATCTCAAATACACACATCACAAAATGATTTTGCATTTGGAAACCTCTGAAACATGCTCTTAGTTTGTGTGGGGTTTGAAGCAATGCTGCAACGTGCTGCTTGTTTACAGTCTGTTGAGATGGGTCTGTAGATACCCAGATACTGATTGATAACCAGTACAAGTATGGACCTCTTGTCTGTAACAGCCCTTGCTGGCAGGGTACTAATGCAGATTCTCTTGAGAAAATTGTGTTTTGCTCAAAAATGTAAGATGTTGGAGGAAGAAAAGAAAACCTCTAGACCTGTGTTCTAATCTTGGCAACACCAAAGCAGATTGCCTGGAACTATTCTATTCCAATACTTAAAGATTTAAAGAAAGACACTGGCTCAAATCTTTTACTGTTTCAGGCTTCTCACTTTCATGCTGTACCAAAGGTCTCACTTTCACCTCCCTTTGAACTTTACAGGGCCCTGATAGTTACAGTTTTCCTGCTATTGATCAAACACAAACCCCAGCCTTGGCATGTGCTTGACTTTACAGATGCAGGTATCAAACCCACCCAAATTGCTCTTGTGCTCCAGACAAATGTGTCCATCATTCATGCTGTTCACTGTAACTTCTGCTTTTTGCTTTTGGGAGGAGCCTTTCTGTTGTGGAGGCAGCATTTTGTAGCAGTTACTCTTGCTCTGCGTGGTCTTCTGTGGTGAGAATGGGATGATCCATCAGTATGTAGCTAATTTAGAGAAGGCAATAAGCACAGAAATGTGTGTCATTACTTTAGATAACAGATAGCACTGTGTAGTAAACACATTTGTTCCTCCTTTTGCCCCATGTCACAAGGTTAATAGGCTGCCATAAGCTGATGCTCATCCCTATGGCAGAAACTCAGTTTATGTCTCCAGTTAACTGATTCTCACTGTTTGATACTATTTTTTTCTGCAGCTTTCATTTCACCAGTCATAAGACTGAAACATCTATTTTCTTTACCCTTTCACATTCCCTGGAGCACACAGGCTTGGGTATCCTTACTCCTGAATAAGTGGAATTGGAGACAGCTGTTGAAAGGAGCTGGAAAGATCTTAGTGCCCAGTTGGTTTTTCTTGTCCTTGTGTCCTGTGTAGCAACCCTGTGTTAAAAACCCACCGGGGGGGCTGGGAAGAGTAGTGATGTTTCAGGAAGCATTGACAGCATTGCAGTCCTGCCTTCCATTGCAGAGAAGCAGGAGAAAACACACACTTGGTTGTCATTTATGGTATTTGTGATGAGATTATGTCCAAGAAATTGTATTTCATTAGAGACCAACTCAATAAGCAAATTGAAAGCGGGTCAAAGAGCAGCAGAGCACTAAAGGGGGAGATTAATATCTTCCTCCTTACACACAGCTCAGACTTGAGCAGTTACATGTGTCATCGACCTGGCTTGCTGAGAAAGCCCATTGTCTTAAAAAGAAGATAAATTAGTGTGTGAAATGAAGTGTGTGTTGTGGAACACAGGGTCTGATGGATCTGCTGTCACTGTACCAGCCTTGGCAATGCACTGAAGCTGTGCAGTGTGCTTTGTGTTGGGCTCCTGACTGCAGAGCAGCAGTGTTCAGCCTGAGTGAGGGGGAAACGGGGTGCCTTCTGCTGACTTCCTATAGGATATTGCAGGTGGAATAGGAAAACCTGGTTTAATTGTGCCCAGTTACTAAGTACATCAACTGTGC